GGCCGCGTGCAACCAAACCCTGCACATCGAAGCCTTCCGGGTTTAGACCCTGGGAAGCCAAGTATTGTTCAATTATTTGTTGTCTGAGGAAGGCATCTGCGTAGTGCGGCACTTTAACCTTAACTTTCTTAACGGCAGGCGCATTGACTACACCTAGACCGGGCACATGCACTTGTCCTTGCAATGCATGCGGCAAAATCAATCTGTATTCGTCATCATCATCAGTTTCACGCTCCTGCGAATCCGAGTCATATTGTTGGCCACTGCGCGCATTGCCACGTCTTTCCTGTTTACTTTCATCTTCTTCGTCGCTGGATGCAGAGTCCGATTGCTTCGCGGAATCTTCGCGGCGTCGCGCTGCACCAACAACATCTTGCCTATATGGCGGCCAGTGATAGTCTTCGGCGCTGTAATCGTAGACGGGACGTCTGCTATCCAAACTCACGCCACGCCCTAGCTTCACTTCTTCATGATCCAACGGCGTTAAATACACTTCATAGTCATTCGGTTTAGACTCAAATGCAGGACGATTATATACGGGTCCTTGACGTTGTTGTGGCAGTAATATTTGATATTTCTCTCCATCGGCGTCGGTGACTACATACGGCACTCGTACTGCTTGCACGCCAAGCAGCGCTGCGGCGACAAATATGCAAGGAAAGAAAGTAAATAATTTTATTAGCTTTTCACAAGTTATCACACCCTGTAACAGACCTGCGGCAAATATCACAAGCAATTTCATTGTCTTTTCATCAGCACGTTCGTTTCCTCAATGCGCGCACTCGCTTCAAATTCGGGGTTTTATATAGAATTTAAATGTACAGCCATTTGCTGAGTCAGCTAATTATTCGTATTGAGTGAGTTACTTATTTTTAGCCCTTTTTGTGGCTAACGTATTTCGTATATTCACTCGTAAATTCGAATTTCAATTTGAAGGTGTGTGCATCTGACAAAATTTGAAATCGGCGTCATAAGCCTTACTCGCACATACATATGTGCATACTAGAGTGGGTCTGCGGATTATTCTGAAGAACTTTGCCGAAGCCAACGATTTTAAGGCGAAGTTTAAAAAAACTGTGTGTAAGAGTTGTGTGCGAGATATGTATGTGATATAGTTAGTCCTTTTGAGCGATCCCGACAAGTAATCAATAGCCAGCTCCTTCTCTCTCTGGTCTTCCTCGTCCTCTGCTTTCTGGCAGGTACTGCGTTGAATACTTTCTGAGCTGAAGCATTTTCATCCATACGGACGACATGACATGGCCAGCGTATGGCGCGATCTCTTAATTCGCAGAACTATTTCCCTGTCGTCATATTTCTCGTACAGTTCATCGTTCCGTTTTTCTCAAAATCAGGTTTTGTTATCGTCCATGCCTCGGCATCATATACCAGAACGAAGATGATGAGTGACTTGTAAAGTTTGGTCTTTTTTCGTCGGGAGAAAACCTTACTGCTCAATTACCTACTCCTTCCGAAGTAACACTTGCTGGCACGAGCTATTCCGCGTCCATTCCATTTCGAGGCTGATATTGTTACTGACGGCTGTTTTTTTTTTTTGATGCCAGAAAATATTTCGACTTGCCCACGTTCACTACCAGACCCATTAAATTGCTTACGGATAACTCAAAAACTGGCAAAAAACATTGTTTGATGTCGAAAAAACTTGGGCTTAAAACACCGCTGGCTCGAAACCACTTTTAGACCAATAGTCTCTTAGGCAAACTTAGTCAGTCTGACTAATATATACAATATTTCCCGCATACGAGACTTTTCCCTTTTTTCGGCTCCTTATAAATCGTTCCGCCTTAAGGTACATACACATGTATTTTGTCGAATTTTGTTTTCGCTCTCATAATTTTAATACTTGTTTCATTATCCTGCCGGTTTAATATATTTATTCGTGCACACACGCACACATACACATACATTTACTAAGGTGCGTGTTTGCTTTATTTAAATTTTTAATTTCCATTTCTTGTCTTATTATTTAGCACCCTTTCTTCATACAACGGTGAAGAAATGTTTAAGTATTTGTAGTTGCCACTGCAAAATACTGCGCAGCCGGTCTCTCGAGTTTATTTATACTTATGGGTCCTTACTTGTATTTTTGTACAACATTCCGCGTTAGCAACTGATTGTAGTTTATTATGCTGTTAACACAGTATAACATTTATTTACCAATATGCCAATAATTTTTGAGAAACGCACTCCAAACACGGCCAAGAAAGACAGGCAGTGTTTTCGTCATGGAAATATCTTGAAATGAAATCAAATTTTTAGCCATCCACGGCCTGTTAACGCTATAATTATTTAAAGAAGTATTTCTGTCGTGCCGCAAAAACGTTGACAATATTTTAAGATCCCTGTAGAGATTGGTTTACGGGTTATCAATGGAATCCGTTTTTTATTCGCCAACACTGTCAAGTTGTCATAGGTTCAAACAATATATTGGGCTAAGGTTTTCTATAGCTACAACAAAAACGTAAATGAATTTAATTAAAAGTTTCGAATGAAATTTCATGCGCACTTTATAGAGGTAAAATAATAAATGCTGAGGCTTAAAGGGGAGCTTTAGTAGTGACAGTGAAATAAATCACCTAGCGTATAAATAAATAAATGTTTATGTTGTAAAAAAACTTCGAGCGAAAATATTGGCTTGTCTTGCTTTGATTTAGTCAAAAAATATTATATGTATTTTCGCTACCGTAATCTCTTTCCTTCAAAAGATTTATGGTCCTTTGCGCGTTGGCCACGGCGAATATAGCATTCGATGGAACGATGAGCTGTACGAGATATACGACGACATTGACATAGTTCAGCGAATTAAAAGATAGCGGCTACGCTGGCTAGGTCATGTTGTCCGGATGGACGAAATACTCCAGCTCTGAAAGTATTCGACACAGTACCCGCCGGGGGAAGCAGAGGAAGAGGAAGACCTTCACTCCGTTGGAAGGACGAAGTGTAGAAGGACCTGGCTTCACTTGGAATATCTAATCGGCGCCACGTAGCGAAAAGAAGAAACGACTGGCGCGCTGTTGTTAACTCGGCTATAATCGCGTAAGCGGTGTCTACGCCAATCAAGAAGAAGAAGAATCTCTTTCCTTAGTTCATAATAAAGTCATCGAAACGACATGACACTACTTGCTGATATTTTAGCCTGCGCAAAATTTAGTCTTTGCTATTCCAAAAATGTGCCCATCTGCGATTAACTCTTATTTATAGTCTCCGAAACCAAAATATTGTTCGGCTGTTCCAAATAGTAGAGGTATTTTTCCATAGCCTTTTTTGACAGATCACGCGTAAATCGTGTCAAGATGCCATGTTATTTTTGTTCAGTATTATTTGGAATTTCATCATGGATAGAGTTATACTTGCACAATGTTTTCAAATCGTTCAGCTTTATTATAAAAATGTATGTACCGTATTATATGTGTATTTCGCGCGCTTTGCTCAACATATGGTCAATATAATCGGCCTACTGAGCATACTGTGCACAACACCATTGCCCGTCTTGAGCACTTATTCATTCAGCATTCACTATCGGATAATATTCGACCGATTAGATCACGTTCAGCATGCAGAGAGAATATAGCCGTAGCTGCGAGTGAACATAAAGATCGTGGAGAGTCGTTCGCAACAACACGGCCTGACGTATGGAACGATTTGGCGCAAACATCCCACGATTTGAAGGCAGATTTTGGCTGGCTGTATGGGTATGTAAATAAGCAACATTGCCGCATTCGTTGGAGGGAGACCAACCTGCAGAGATTTAAGAGCCACTATTTCTTCCAGAAAAAGCATCATTTGAGATAGTTTGTGAATCGATGGAATAATGCGTTCATATTTCTTCAAAAATGATGTTGGTCAGAACGTAACCGAATATTTAATGCCTTAATTGAAGATAGTGATATCGGCGATATTTGGTTACAACAAGACGACGCTAGATCCCACACATTGCATCAATAAATGCATTTTTAAGAGAACACTTCGGTGAATAGATAATTTCATGTTTTGGGCCGATTGCTTGGCCAGCAAGATCCTGTGATATCACAAAGTTAGACTTTTTGCTGTGGTAATATGTAAAGTCTAAGGTCTATGCGGACAATCCCGCTACGATTCAGGCCTTGGAGCAAAACAGTTTGTCAGTTACCAGTCTAAATGCCCGAACGAGCCATCGAAAATTGGACTCAACGGAAGGGCCATCTGAGACGTGGCCTCGACCAATATTTGAAAGAGATAATCGGCAGAAAGTAAATGTCAAGGAATGTTTTTTCGAATGATAATAAACATTCCCCATTAAATTTGAAGTTTCTTCTTTAAAAAACTAGCGAACCTCGAAATGGATTTTCATAAAAGGGCTATTGAAAAAGTACTGCTCCTTGGATCACCCGTTATAATGGCTATATTTTATGCATATCATGAATTGACAACCTTTCAAAGCAGAACCTCTGGTTATGGTAAAAGAATTTATATAGTTTGCGAAAATAATTTCTACAGATGTGAAAGGAAAAACGTCGAAACTTGATCTCGTAAAATTAAGTAAATTAATAAAGTCATGCAAAAAGTCGGAAGTTCAAACTAATTTACAATATTTTAGAGTAGGCACGGCAGGGAATATCCTTTTAGGTGTGTCAAACCTAATATTAACTTTTTACAATCATAGTGAATATCAACGGGAAAACGGTCTTGAAGCCATTATAAAATGAGATAGCACTTCTAGGTGATTTTTCTCAATGTGTCCACATGAGATTAAAAATTATTTATATAATATTTTAATTAGTGTCAAATCAATTGGAGCATTATATTCGAAATCCTTGCAGTATACCATTTCACAATGTTTTGTAACCCCGTGCCAACAGCAGACTGACATATTTCCTATCATATTTCTGAGCAAATGAAAACCTTTATGTTTACGAATCAATTTATTAAATTTTAAGACAGTTTATTTACATAAAAATGTATATATTTTACAAAGTTTTTTAAAATATTTTATCGATGCCTGCTCGAATGCTGGCTTTTTAAATTTCTTACAAAAGCTTTAAGAAAGAACGAAATGCTGATTTATTGTTTTGACACAGCTACGGGAGGAACCACGACGGGTGCCTTGGTTACGCTTACTACATCTGACACTACCGGCACTGCTGGGAGAGTTGATACCTGTGGAACGGCCTGCCTATCCACTGCCAACACGGCAGGTACATCTGGTGTAATTGGTAGCGTTGTCTCTTTGCCGCCTTCAACGGGATTAACAGCAACGGTTAGTGAATCAACAGCAGCCGCAACACTACTGGCTGTTGCGCCCTTAGCAGCCACTTGACGTTGTGGACGTGGCACGGCATCCGTAGGCTTGGGTTGTGTGCCTAAGCTTTGCAGGTTGATGCCTCTTGCCGCCAACGTTTGCGTGATAATTTGCTGCTTGATTTCAGGCGTGACGTAGCGTGGCACTTTCACCTTGACCGCTTGCACCACTGGCTGATTGATGACACCAACACCCGGCAAGTTGAGCGGATTTTTAGCGGGCAACAGAATGCTGTACTCCTCCTCACTGGATTCCAACGAACCCGTTAATGTTATCTGTGGCAAAATTGCAGCTTGTACACATACGCAGGCTGCAATTTGGAATTTGCAAAAAGAATTTTTATATTAACCCAAGTGCGAAGTGGTCATAAGCGTTAATTTTACTCACCTGCGGCGAAAATCACTAGATACTTCATGTTGTTATCTTAAGGCTTTGCTCGTAAATGTCGCTGATCCTCAATGTAAGTGCTTTTATATGGCAGACATTACAAATTGGACGCACCTTAAGTCGCTGTTTGCGCTAAAAATACTCTGAAATTGACCATTGTTTTACTTTGAAATAAACTGGTCTGCAATAAGGCGCGCTCGCTGCAATTAGCCGCTCTTTACGGGCATAACAATAGTCTGTGTGACTTATTAATAATACAATAACATTTCTTAACTTCGCTTATCTGAAGTTATCTAGATCTTTCTTTCTCTTAAATGCATACCCAAAACACTTACAAAAATTCTTAGTTGTATCTTAACCCTTCCCCGAACACTTGCTTTACAAAATGTTATTTTATTGGTTACTCGAATCATCTGAATGACGTCATTATGCATGCGTGTGCCAGGTTTCGTTTGAATTTGATTTATTGTTGTTTTATGAATACTTATTTCTTATTAAACTTAAATATATAAATTTACATATAATTTTTAGTATCAAACGTTTAATTGCGTAATTATTATACATATATATTTCAGCTTATTTGAATCAATTCACTTTTATTTTAATTGATAGGCTGTTTGTAAGCGGAGATTTAAGCCACAGCGTTCTCTCTTAGGTCATCAATAAACATATTCTGATCCACGATTAGCCTTAAGTACACATCACTCAACTACTCGCTGATTTTAAGCAAAGTTTTGAATTTTTTTTTGTTTTTACTTGATATAGCCCAAGTTTACCACGAAGTTTGTAGCGCGTGGAAGGAAACATTGGAGATCCTGAGAAACCATAGCTCAGTTTTGGAGATATCGATCTAAAACTTTGAACATATAATTTCCTTTCTAAGCAGCTGCTTATTTTTTGGAAAAACCGATATCAGACCTCTATGCCATATATCAGCCATACAAAGTTACCTATTAAACTAGCCAATGGCAGTAGACGGCTATCTTTCCGACCTTTCTCGCTCCCTCACTGCACTGAACCTAACAATCTCCGCCTCTAAACCCACAGCTAACATATTCACTAACCGGACGAAGAAGTACAGCCATTGCAGTCGATGGTGTTAGAATTCTGACTATCAAGTTAGAGTTAGGTTTTATGTGTGACATTCAACAGCCTGTGCTCCTTCACTCCACACAAGATTACGATTGTTGCCAAAAAACAGAGCCGCAACACAATCCTCAGGCCGCTAGCCAGCACCACATGGGGAAAAGGCGAAGAAACGTTATTGGCAACTTATAACATAATCGGCCGGCAGGACTACAAAGGGATGCCTCTTGATGTCTCCCATCGAACATCTACACAGTGAGGTCCACATGCACCCAGTTAAGAAACGAAATGAGCTCCTCTCCAAGCAGTTTATGCTGAGGTGTTTTCGTAGAAACCATCCGTGTAATCATCTACTTGAAACGAAACCACCTCCTGGGTGCATCAAATCGTTATTCCTCAACTATGAACGCAACTAACTTCAAATATGTCTTGACTGTCATTCACAGTAGACCATAAGCACATTCAACGACTCCCTCTTAGTGACAAACATACTTGGAGTCAAACCAAAACCCATTGCAGGCGAGGAGCTCATGTTGCCGCGAGGGTGTCCCTTGCACGGGTTCGCTCGGGATATTGTAGCAGGTTAAACTCTTACTTATCCAAATTAACATTGACATATCAAAAATATGTGTGCAACGAGTCCTCGCATGACACTAACCACCTCTTTGCATGCCGAGCCTAACCCTACATATCTGACATCTCTCTCTCTCTATGGTCCGACCACGTCGAAACACCACGTTTCCTGGGCCTACTATTAGATAACCTCGATGACAACTTATGGAAGATAAGGTTGGAAGGTATTTTCAGGTTATTCTTCGGTCCAAATGCGGCAATCTTGTTTATTTACATACCTATTGAAACAGAAATGGGCCTCATCGCTGAACAAAAAATTTTGCTCGAAAAAGTCGGATCTTGTTGGAGCTTTTCAAATGCTCATAGAGCGAAGCGATGTCGCTTGGGAAGGTCGAACGGCTTCAGTTCTTGCACAAGCTGTATTTTGTACGCTTTGAATTGAAGATCTCGACGTAAAATCCGCCAAGTGGTTCCAAACGTCAGTCCAAGTTGCTGCGAACGGCGCCGAATCGACTTCCCACTATTCCTATTCCGTTGAAATGAAAATTGCAACTAAGTAGTTAACTAAAATATTGAAAGATAAATATATTAAGCAAATAGAAATGGATATCAAAGAAAACGATAATTTTTATTGAAAGGTACTTTTTATTAAAAAAATTTAGAATACACAATATTTTTTTCCGGTTTCAAAAGGAAACTATGCTGACTTAGAGCCATATCTAACGTGTCGCTTTGCGTCCCTTACAATATCATTGGTACAACTGGGATGACTGGCGCCTCAGGTACAACTGGAGCGGCTAATCCTGCTGGTGCCACCGTTGTTATCTCCTGCACACCACCGATTATGCCACTTTCCACTACGCTACCCTTATTTACTGCAGCTGTAGCCAGCACCTCTCGTTGTGGCCGTACACCGGTAGTTGGTGCGACATTGTTTAAGCCGCCTTGTGGCGGCTGTGTGTGTAGAGTCAAACCGCGCGCAGCTAGGGTCTGCGTGATAATATGCTGCTTGAGTTCTGTGCTAACATAGCGTGGCACCTTCACTTTAACCGCTTGTAAAAGGGGGTGATTGTAGACACCAACGCCCGGTAAGCTCAGTGGTGGTTGATTATTAGCCGTCACGAGTACCTGATACTCCTCCTCGCTGGATTCGGATGAACCATCATAGAATCCGTATGGAATATGATAGGCTTGAACGCAAAGCAGAGCTGTAAAGGAATTGTATTATATACTATATAAAAGTAATATCCGTGAATGTGTTGGACTTACATGCTGCGAAAAGTACGAGAAACTTCATGTTGCACGGTAAAGGTTTGATTCAATTATGCGTCTTATCCTGTGGGTGTCGCACTTTATATAAAAGTTTGTGAGTTGAACTTTGAGAAACTTAAAAATATTGATTAATGATTAATTTATCGGCTGTTGTCTTGCTCAAAGTCCAATTTGTTACTCATCTTCGATACATCATGTGATATTTACCACACCCTCAGCACGGCAGATTCTCCAGATTGACAGTGTTTATGTTTTTGCGGTTCTTGCACGTCAATTGATTGGCTTATCTTGGTACTTTTTTATATTTGCACACCTTTCATCTGTTCGGTGAGTGTATTTATATAACGGTATGTACAAAAAATCCAAGCTTTAAATACTATATTATCGAACTGATCACGGCGCTTAATTTATTAGTTTGTTTAAAGCGTTTCTTGAAAGACACAGAATTGCTTCCTTTGTTCAATACTTATACTTTGAACAGTGTATATGAAGCTTGCTGCGAAGTTGTCTAACATACGGAACAAAGCAACGGAGACAAGGAAAACGGGCAAGATCGGTGGCCAAGGGAGAGCAAATGCAGATGGCCGGCGAAACTAATGAAAGATATAGATCTGACACAATAAGCAACGCAGCAAGGACGAACCAGTAGACGCAGCAAACTATACCTCTTTAAGGGCCGATGATGAGGAGGAAGAACGGTGGACATTAAGAAATAAACTTTGAGAAACCAATACAGACAATGTAGGAGCAAAAACGACAATCAACGCCGAGAATTGACAGAAAATTACCACGTGTATGGAGTATGTACTACGCATTAATAAAACGGACCTAGACGCAAGCTCTCGGGCACCGCAAAATTTAGATCAATAGAAGATGAGCTCAACAACTTGATGTTGGCTACAAAGCCAAAGGTATCCCTGTACTCAGGCGGAGTTAAAACTGTCTTGCATTAGGCGCATCCTGGGAACTTTGTTCTGAAAGAATAAGAGAAAGCGGTGCAGGAGCAAGGGAAAATATCCATGATAGAAGGGGAGAGTAGTTTAGTGGATACACCACCCACGTAGGATAATGATCCCGAAAAGCATTTTAACCCTAAAAAAAAAATTTAAATTTAAAATTTCGAAAAATAACCTTTCGAAATAGTTGTTTCTATAATTCAGCATTTAGAACTTAGGTTTTGCAGAGGTATATCGGAATTCGTACTGGAAATATACTATTCCAAGACCTGTAAAGCACACCTTTTCGACTCTCAAAAATAGCTGATGATCCTTTTTCTCAGGTTCCTTAAAAATTATGCGGAAAGTTTTAAGGTTTTACTAAAGATCAAACGTGTAGATATATATAATACGATCTACAAAACGTCGTGTTTTACTTAAAGGAAACTTCGTTTTCGTTTCAAAGATAATGGATCACATGGAATTCTCTGAAACAATGATGACGATGAAATGATATCGGTACAAACTACTAAGGGACTGGAATAGGAGAGTGAATCATTTACACCAAAGTTATTTTCTCGAAACGAACGACTAAGAATAATAGTAAAATAGTTTTCTGGATCTGCAAGAGTAGTGTTAGAGTTAAAGAACATTTCTGGACTTAGTATAGAAAAGCTGAAAGGTGGAATATTAGATACAGAAATTACTGCAGAAGAATAGTACTAAGATTATTGAGATCGTTAGATGATGGCAAATTTCTTTCATTTTCTTTTCTTTTCATTTTCTTTTAATTATTTTGCGAATAATTCTTTACGAGAGGGAGAGCGCTAGTTAGTCAACAGTCGTAGCTCTATTCTATCTGTAGCGAGCTGGAAGTTATGTAAGTCAAGGCATGTTAAGGTTTCTCTATGTCTCGAGCTGTGATTACTGTTGCTATTTCTTTCAGTAACCGATTATATGTATGATTCGTTTGGCATTTCAAGTTTTAGTATTCCGTCCATTGTGCTGCTTTTGACGGAACTTCTATTTGTCGGGATCTCTCTCTAATCTGGCGCATAAGTTTTCCGTTACTAAGATATGTAGCTTCGCACCACAACATTGAGGTAGTCGGTAGTTCTAATTTTTCTTCTAAAACGTCGATCATCTACGACCACCTAGCGCTATTAAAGGCCTTTCGAACGTCTAAGGTCGCCGACAGAACTATTCGCTGATATTTGAGGCATCTACGCTGTGCAACTTCTAAACTTTCAGTGACGCTTCGGATAGCGCCTAGAGTTCTACCTTTCTGGATCTAAAACCATGGTGTCAGGGGGATAGTCCGCCAGCTTCGTTGATAGCGGCTTTTAGTCTAAGTTTAAGTAGCTTTTCATAGAGCTTTCCCGCTGTGTCGAGCATGCATAGTCGGCGGCATGCTGATGTGCTTACAAGGTTCAACGCTTTGCATATAAAATCCTTCAAAGTAGTAGTCGAATTATTAACCAGCTAACAAAAACTAAAACGACAATCTTCAAATTTTTTTGTAAATATTTTTATGCATATTTTTTATTGTTTTTTTTTTTTTATTTAAAAAATGTTAAAGCTAATTTTTTTTACAAATATTAGTGTGTTTTTATATTAGTTACTTAAATATAAATACATAGTTGGGTATTATTTAACATTAATTTCAACATATGTGTATAATTTTGTTTCAACGGCTTAGGAGGGACTTCTAAAAAGTTATTATTTTGTTTTAACAAATTTTTTAGTTTTTTTTAAGAATGTAATTTTTTTTTAATTATGTAATTTATAATTGTAATTTTGTAACCATCAATCAGTTTTAAAAATTTTCTTTGAAGAAATTATTTCTTTTTATTATATTTTTGTAAACAAAAAGTGAAAGTTGATACCTTTTGAAGCCTTATTCTAATTTTTGATTTCAATTTTCCTTTTTTTGTAATTTTTGAATAAAATTTTATTTTTGTACTATTTTGATGACATTTTATCCGAATTCATTTGCCAGCTTTTATTACTTTTTTTTCAGAATTCTGGTGCTAACTGCATTAGTGCTTAAACAAAAATATGCAGTACTGGTATTTTCATGTTAATTTAAGGATATATTATTGTTATTAGTTACTTTTTTTATAAAATATTTTAAGTAGTCGGTTAATTTTTTTTTTTTTTTTGCATTGTAATATTAATTATTTTACTTTT